CCTCTTCACGTGATCTTCGATTTGTACGTTGCTCGTTTTCTTTTCGTTCTAACGGATCTGCGTTACGGAATCGCGTTCCCTGCTCGATTACATCTAGAATAATAAATATGTACAGGCACGATCGGTAGACGGCCGATTGGCTCAACGCGAGCGGGAAGACGCGCGTCGCGGCGCGCCCTGCTCGCCCGTTCTCGCCTCGAAGTCGATCGATTATTAAATGCAAGGTTCACCGACGCGTCCAGGAAGTGCCCCGTGATCACAGGTTCTCGACCCACGCGAATCTAATCCCCGCGGAAAAGGTAATCTCGACGAGACTGTCGCGAGATCGTCTGCCGGGATGATCTCTTCCTCGCGACGTACGGATTGGTGGCCTAACAGAGGAGGTTCGAACCGAGCGCGAGTGATCCTTTGACGAAAACTGAATCGAAAATACAGATATACGTTTCCTCGTATGACCTTGGTTCTTCAAATAATTAAATTGAAAGCTGTGAACCTTTAAAATATTCTCAAAAACGAAGGCTCGTACGAGAAACCATTGGACTCTTCCGATTCAATTTTCCCAGATGCATCGAGGATGAATGCTCGTTTCTGTCGCACCTCGTCTATTGGGACAATCTGTACATTCACGGTGCGAACTGAAGAATATACATATATATAAAAATCTGATTAAACGATGTCGCGATCAATGATTATCAATGAAACTTCATTCCAGATATTTAGGTTGCGGGTTAAGCTCTACGATTCAACTAGCTACGCTCTAACTACTTTACTCTAGTGAAACAATCGCGGGATCGTCGAGAATCAGTTTAATCTTGGACCGTAAACTGCGACGAGTCTTCTATCGCGCTAGGAATGTTGGCAGTGACTTTTTTTCTCGTTAAAAAAAAAAGAGGAATGGAAGATTGTCAACGATAAGGGAACGAGCATGGAAGATGAATCCTTCTCGCGGACGCTCAGACGTGAGGATCGCGGAATGTGGGTGACGAGGAGCTGCAGTTAATCCGAATTTCGCATGCACTTGTTTGCGCCAGGGAAAGATTTGTTTGGGACATCGAGTCGGTTAAGTATTCGTTGATAAAACTCTTTGTTAAAGGGAATTATTCCCAAGATTTAGTGTTCTGTGCGTGACTACCGGTAGAGATCATCTTGAAGCAGCGATAAAATGTGAATCAGTCTATATGAACGAATTTTAAGTCTAACTTTAGAATTCCTTCGTAGAAGATGCATTGAAATGCACGCTTATTTTTTCGAATTTAACTTCCATCATACGTACAGAACTTCATTAACAAATCAAATTAGAAGAATTTGAAATTCTCAGATAATCAAAGTCACGTTACTGGTCGGCAGAGACTTCTAATCACGAATACCGAACCGAGCCATCAGAAATTCCTCCCCGACGCGCGTGAAATACTCGATCGCCTCCGCGTCAGTTTCACGACGCTGATCCCACTTCCATGTATTCCCCTGATCCCGACGCAACGTGCTCGCGAGGAATCCAAAACTCTCGTCGCTGATCGTGAAAACAGCCGGGCGTCATCGAGGGAACGGCGATTCGCGGCGAAACAAAGGAAACGGAAAAAGGGGAAGCCGCATCGAACGTGCACGAACGCGAACGCAAAAAGAAAAAGAAGAAACAAAAATATATAGATATCAGAACGCAAAGGGAAAAGAAGCAACCTTTGAATCCCTTTGACGAATCGCACCCTACTACCCTTTCCCTCTTCCACGCTTCATCCGTCGTTTCTCGATCCCATCATCATCATCATCATCATCGTCATCATCTTCATCCTCATCCTCATCATCATCTCTGTTCTTGGTCTCTCGTTTCATAGTCTCACTGTCGCGCACGCGTATGAAAAAGCACGCACACGTACAGACAAACAGATACTCTCGGCAGCAGACACGCGACAAACACGAAACAGGCATACACGAGCATACACCGTGAAAAAGAAAGAAGAAATGCGCAACCGGCTTGTCGCTGATACAATAAGGAAGTGTGTGAGGTTGGAGACGCGAGTCTAGCCCTAAAAGAGACTGCGTGCGGTTTGTTTGTCCGTAAATAGTTGAATGAGGGGGTGGAATGATGTGCACCGTACACACGGAAGCGCTCGCGCCGCGTAGCGTGTTTCTCTCTTCGAATATGTTTCTTTTTGCAGCCGTTTTCCTATCTCCTCGATCTCCAAGTTACACGTATATGTATAT